GGGAAAATAAATAAAAAATTAATAAAAATCCCAAACACGATACCTCTCCTGCTCCCAGTCAGAAGTGCTTTTGAAGAAGTGTTTTAAGAAACTACTTCTTCAAAGAACAATGTTAAGTACAGGAAAGGTGCAATAAAATATATATGTAGGATAGGTATAGATATAATAACAACACCCTTGTTCTAAATATTTCATTTTGATGCTTTTATTAATAAAACTACACAATAATTTTATTCAAACTTTTCATTTAACATGGTTTTGCATGTTCAAGAAGCACTGACCAATGAAAGATCAAAAATTTACTGATGTGGGGATTTATTATATGAGGTTTTTAAAACAGTATGGTTTTTTTCCTAAAGAACTTGTTCTTGCTTGAAAATTTCTACTTGGGACTCAACATAACTGGATTGCACAAATTCTGATTCCCCCACCCCACACACATTAAGATTGGCTTGTAAGTTATTTCAACTGTTTTAACTGAAATCAAAGGAATCCTGGACAGCTGGCATCAAAAATGCCATTAACTCTCCTTGCTCATCCTCTACACACAATTGCCCATTTATCTCACCCTCTCCCATCGAGCCTGAGTGTGTGCACAGCAGAAGACAACACTTTGCTACATCTTTGTATTTTATAACTTTTCGGCTCCCTTAAGTTGGTAAGTTCTAGTCTGAAACATCTCTAGTTCCCAAATAATTATGGAAAATACTATCACTTATGGAGAAAACTATATGCAACCCCTTGCAAGATGTCAAATCTAATTAAATCTTTAGAAGAATTTCAGCGCTAGGCAGAGGGGTGGTTTCCATATTTAGAGCATCCTCCTGACAAATAAATCAATTCAAAACACTCTATGTCATATTCTTACTGTGTATAGTCAAATGGGCTGGAAGAAAAGAAATTAAAAAAAACCCAGTACAAATAATTACTTGATATGCAGCTCACTTCCTCCCATGTCAGATTTATGGGACTCTTATTTAGAAGGGCAAGAATGGTAGTCCATACCACACAGTGCTCCCCTGGTCAGAGAGCTTGCAGGCTGACTGATAAACTCTTTTAGTGCCAGCTTCTAACAAGCTTCTGGCACCAAAGTCAATTAATTCTGAAGTGGCTTTTAAAAGGAAAACAAACTAGATGCCATGGAAATAAACCAGAATGATTTAAGCAGGAATATCAGAGTAGATATAACTGCAAGTGGAAGAGCATATTCAATTCCAAAAAGAAAGTATCTGGCAGCATACCAAAGTAACAGCTATGCTATCTGCACAGAGCCCATATGACACAGCCAGCCAAGGATGGGGAAAACATGAAAGCAAACACACTGAGGATACTAGTGCTTCAGAACAACAGAATAGCTAGGAACACTTATACACATGGACTAAAATAATGCAAAATGTCCACCCACACATTGACAATGAAAGAAAACCCATATGGGAACAAAATATACCTTATCTCGGGGAAAATTCATCTCCACAGCAAAACCAAAACAGAATACAACATGATCTGAGAAGGCAACATTGACTGCTCAGAGATCACAGCAGATCAGAGGAGGCAGTTACTAGCAGGTGAGACACAGAATAACTTCCTGACTTCAAAGAAGGTACTGTTTCCCTGATTCCTATTTTGCACATCATATATTGTAATTTATTAATTGGCTTCTGGATAAGACTTTGTCTTTGATTTTTAATAAAAGGTGCATAAGCATAAACCAGTGGACAGAGCCACCAACGTTCTTAAGACACCATATTTACACAGTGGCTGGAATCAGAAAAAGTAAGTCTTTTAGTTGGATGGCTGAGTGTTACAACCTCATTGTGAACTTATGATCAGCAGCACTTTAGAAATGGGCTGGTAGTAAGAATTCCTGACATCCCCTTACTCTGAATCACACAAAGTTTGCAAAACTCTAGCTTTTTGCAAGCACGTGGCATTATCATATTTATAAACAGGTCTCAAGGCTTTGTTTGTAAAACCCTCTGTACCTACAAATGAAAAATATAAAACAAACAACAGTGATTATAGAATTAGGGAACAGACAGTTCCCGTGAACAGCCAGAAATGATCCCCGAACCATGCACTCAGAGGCAGTTACATACACTAAGCCATGGAAAGAAGCCCTTAAATGTTATTCATTTCCCTGACTCTCTTAAAAAGAAAAACTGTAACACACATCTGTGACCTAGCAACAAAATGGTTTGAAATACTTTCCAGATCACTGAACTGTGCAATACCTTTAAAAATGGGATGACAAAAGGTCGCAGTGGGAAGTTAGTAGCTTCTTGCAGTTTGGAATGAAATTCTTCAATTGTCAAAGTAGAATTCTGTTGAGAAAAAAAATCTGTCTTGGTGACAAAATAATGAAAACACTTAGCAAGAGAAACAGTAACCAAAGCTGTCTGAAATTGCTTAATAACTCGTTCTTGATATTGATAAGAGGATAAAGAAAAGCGAGCTGCATATTAAATTATTACCTTATTAAAATACTCAAAGAAAACCACCAGCATCTCAGACATTCAGTGCCTGTTGCTTCGAGCACAGTTTAAGCTCTCAGGTGCAAAGCATGCATATGTTTTCACATTCCAAACATCAGTTGAAGTGGCTTTTCACAATTTTTTTTTCATTTCTCATTTTTCTACTATTTTCTTCTATTATATTTTCTACTGGTGACTCTTGTAATTTTGTTCACAATGCAGAAGTTGTAACTGGCATGCACGGACAAAAAAGATCACGCTTTTTAAAGGCACATTCCTTGTTGTTTGAGAAGAAAAGACTGCACTTTGCCTCTTGCACTTATAAAGTGGTTTACTATGTTCTAGGCTATGTAGGAAAGTCATTACTTTGCAGCTGAGGTTGTAATCATGAAGACCACATGCTGACAGGGTTGACCAAGAGAATAGTGTGATATGTGGATTTTCCCAAGGAAAATCTCCTAATTTGCTCCTCAGGCCTCAAATTACGGTAGAAATTAACTGTAATTAACAGCGGGCTAGCAGTTTTGATCTGAAAAAGCAATGGAAGGTGGATGCTCCCAAAGCCATCTTTAGCTTCTCTACTAGTTCCCCTTTCCAGAGAGAACCATGTGACAAGCAAAACCCCACCAAACACATATTTTGGATATGGAAGCAAATGGACAGCAGGATTTATCAATGTTACAATGCCTACATTGAACTTCTTTTTGACACAGACTCAAGTCTGGCACCCACTGCTGTCAGGCAGGGTTTTGTGAAGATACAAGCAGAGGACACCTCAGCCCTAGTATTAACAGTGCTGTCAGTCTCTGCTCCAAATGAAGTCAACTGCAACTGCAGCTGCTCAGAACAGATGTAACTTAGAGCACCACAACAGCATTTTTCTTGGTACATCTAATTATTGCTGAAGGAGATACATGGGAGACAACAATGTCTGGCAGAGAGAGGACTTTACAGGGAATAAAAAGAATCACAGATTCACAATAGTTTGCATCTAAAAGGGCAGCCCAACCTGACAGGTATAGGTAAGAAAGAGCTGAAATTTTCATTCAGCCAAATCATCACATAAAGATAACCTTATCAATAAAGTAACTTAAGCAGCAGCAGTGCATTATCAGGTTCGTAACTGTTGGGTTCAATGATACTGAGAAAAGATTTTCCACTGCATAACTGCAGTCCAACAAATATTCAGCTTATTCTTTTAACCAGTATTCTGGCACTACACATGTATGGCAAGGCACTTTCCCCATCCAACTAAACTGGGCCAGTCAAACAATATTTTACTACATTACATAATTCAAGATATGTCTACATTAGGGGTACTGACAGCACAGAATAAAAACCCTTTCACACCATTACAGCATATTACTATACTGGCAAAATGAGTCAAGGATATACCCAGCTGGGAATAGCTTGTGGGAAGCTAGTCAAGCTACTCATGCTAGCTCTGGCAGCAAGAGCCAGCAGTTCACTCCTGCATGTTTGGTATCCTTAAAGCATGATGTATGCAGTGTAGGTCACCCACTCTTTTACATAATAAACATGTCAAGTGAGGAAGAGGGAAAAGGACAGAAAAATTATCACAGCTATTATATCATTGGTTTTTTTGCTTACCACAAGTCCTAGCACAAGGGTACGCACTCTCTCCCCAATCTCTGGTGAAATGTCATTGCCAAACTGCTGTAAGGTTGTAAGAAATCTCTTCAGTTTGCTGAGCTGCCTAGCTCCACAAGCTGGCGGTAACTGCTGGTTAGCCAGAGAAGAGGAAGAGGAAGAGGATGGCCCATTGCTAAAGCCATTAGGAGGAGATGGAGCTCCATTTAACGCTGTTGGTGAATGGCTAGTGCCATTGGTTACTGAAAGAAAAGAGAAATAGGAGGATAAAATAGAGAAGGGGGTGGGTGGAGAGAGAGAGAGAGAGAGAGAGAGAGAGAGAGAGAGAAAGGAGACAGAGGGGAAAATCCATCAGCTTCTGTTTTCTGTGCTTGACCTCAAAATTAATTAAGTTGCACAATCAAAGATAATTAGCCTTTTGACAGAGCAACAGTCTGCAGTTTATATTTATTTCCCAGTAGCTGGTACTGAACAGTGTATGGATTGGAAGTAACACCAGCTGCCTCTCACACAGCCCCTTCAAAATGCTCCTGGACCTGAAAAGCATCATTTGAATACCAGCCTTTTGTCAGAGGATGTCAAAAAGAGAGAGAGGAAAACAGAGAGAGAAAAAGCACGAGTGCATGTATGATTGAAGACCAAAAAAAATTGCTCTTTGGGGTAGAAAAAAATGTGCAGACATATTTCACGAAGCCTCAATTTATCTCTGAATATTTTTACTTGTGTTTTGTACACACAACTGACAGCTGTGTTTATAAAACAGGACTTTCACGTTTTAACCTTACACCACCCAATGAGAAGGTTATTTTTTCTGATACAGATTTCCTAGCTGCTAACATATGGAGCACACAAACTTGTCTGTGCAGGTACAAATGCTGCCATGCTCACTGTGGCCTGAAGCCTTGCAGCAAGGGCATGAATCTAGACTTCAGAAGACTTCTCAGAGACCATGACCAAATCTCTCTGCTTTCATGTGCCAACTCTAAATCTCTAAAAAGGATAAGAAAGCATTTCCCTCCTGTTGCAAGGTTGCTGTGAGAATAACTATCTAAAGTACAAAGCGTTCAAAATTTATGGCAATGAGATTTATGCAGACATACTGAAGACAACAGACAGTTTTTGGCAGCAATTTCAGTTTGATTCTTACCCACACTCCAGAAGAGAGCAGAAAATCAAACTGAGGACATCCTTTTCCACCCAGGATAATTGGAACAGCAACACTCAAACACACACTGTTGAGGTTGTTTGAGTCTGATTTGCTAAAATGACAGCAAATGGCAAGAAAAAGGATGGCTCCCTAGAAATACAAGAGTACCAGTGCTCTGGCAGGTGTGGGCACACAGCACGAGACTGTATTCAGCAGCAGCCAAGCTCAGCTGGCCCTTGCCCTGGAGAAATTGATTGATTTCTTTTTGAGAAGTCACTCAGATCCTATCCCAAAAAACCCATGAAAAATCAGGAACTTATCTACAATAAAAAAATGCATAGGAGCATTAGTCTAAATTGATTCCTATTTAAAAGCACAACCAAGGCAAGTTAGCAACTTGAAGAACTTCCAACGTTTCTCACTGACAGGCCTTTCTGAAACCAAACATCCTGTTCTTCTTCTGCCATTTTCTTCATCACTCATCCTTATTTTTAGAAAGGAAGTCCCTTTTGAGGGTGGACACCTACTACTAGATCTAATTCACTGCCCTATTACCAGATATAAATCACTACCACAAATTGTGAAGGAGCTTTTGTTGCCCTAGTGACTGAAGTGCCCTTTTGGAGGCACTGCAGAAAAAGCTATCTGAATGGTTATCTAGTTTCTGCTTGTGTTTTATCCTAGTTTTTGGTTGCCTATTCTGGTTGCGTGGGCTAGGGAGAACAAGAAGTGGAAAAAGCAGAAATAGAAAGAAGCTGGCCTCAGCAAGTTCAGCTCCATGTGCGGCTCCAAGCCATGTCTGAGTGCTGCAGTGGAGTGAGATATCTGAGTAAACAAATACAACATGATTGCAAGGAACTCACATAGTCAAAAGTCATCACACCATGAACATAGCAAATGAGGATTGGGAATAATAGCAACATGTCCTGCTCTAGCTTGACATCACCTAACAACTCTGTCACCAGTAAAAGGCTGCCCTAGGCAGAGGGTCCTGAGGCTGTGATGAAGAAAGCACAGAACAGTAGAGTTCATTACCCAGGATAATTACAGGGAGAAGAAAGGTAAAAATTTCTCCCACGACATAAGAAATAAAGAAAGCTCTTTATTTATAATATTTGAACTTGCTGATGGGCAAAGATCTATGTAACTTCTAAAACCAAACCATGTTATTAATAAAATAGAATTTAGCATTTAAAATTTCAAACTAAGACATGTCAAGAATTTTTAATCATGTAAACCAAAGAAAACAAGGATATTCTTGACCAGAAAATAGGTCTGATTTTTTGGCTTGCAGACATTCCCACTGTAGTAAGAATAAATGTAACAGACTCTCCAACAGAAGTGACTATTTACTGTACAAGCTGGAACCACTAAGGCCAAACTCCAAAATCTGATAGGGTAAAAGCCAATTAAAATCAGATTTCTTTAGACTTTTAGCTTTTATTTATAAATAAAGAGCCCCCAAAATCCAGATATGGTTCACACACCTTCCAAAGTCCTGAACTCAATCAAATAAACAAACATCCAGTAATCTTGTGAGTACACTGAGGACTGCAAGACTGATTAAAGTACACTGTCTTATTCCTTTTATGATTGCTAAAGATTACCTTGAACTGTGCCAATGGCATCACCCTAGAAAACTTAATCTGCAGGAGCCCCACCCTGCAAAAAACCTACAAACAATTTAACTTCAGACTGGAGCAGCTTCTAGGATGATTCAGGTGCTAGAGCAAAACATATCTTTGCAGGATCAGGGTCACTGGGTTAAATTTGAGTTTATGTGAAGAGCTGGCACAAACTCTCCTCACTGTTAAAGTTCAACGGAGACTGTCAGGACAGGGTTCCCTGGGATAAGTAGTACAAAGGTCTCCAGCTGGCCCTCTGCATAGAGGTGAATTTTAAATAAGGCATTTAACAGACAGAAAGGGACTAAACAGACATAGGCAAGACAAATAGAAGATGCTGCCTTCATTCTGTTTAGGCATATGTATTCTACTGTTCTAAAAATGTTTTATTTAAAATGTGAAATGTAAACACATTCTCATGTTTATACTATTATAAGGCAGTTTAAAAGAGACCAAAAAATTTGCAGCTAAATCTTGGTAAGAGAAATGTGGATCATTTCATGGCTGTGAAAAGAATAGTCCAGACAACGTGCCAGATTCAAATCTCAGTTACATTGATACAAATACAGGGTAACTCCATCAAGACTAGCAGAATTTGTTGCGTGTTTACATCAATAAACTGAGAAAGAGATGCAGCCCCAAGTGATTTAGAAAAGTGGTCACAGACTAGGAACCTCTTAGATAAAAACTATAAAAGGGCTTTAATTTTGGTTTTATATCAATATTAACTGGACATTATATAGCATTTAAATCAGAATTCTTCATTCAAACCTAAGTGGAGGATAAGTTGGGGGTTTTTTCATTATAAATTATCCCCAGTTTATAAACAAACAAACAAACTTCCTTAAGTTTCTATACAAAAGGGAACAGGATCTCTTAAAAAGCATAATGACATGTAAGGGACAGAGGTTTTCTGTACTTCTCACAAGAGGACTGATTTGAGCATTAAGTACCTGAGAAACTAGTGCTCGCTGTTCTTTGACACTGCAGCCAAGTTGTCAATCAAATAACAACACAACAACACAACTCCGAGCTGAATATCTTAATACCTTCAAGATGTATTAATCTGTTGTGAGCTTAGTTTTGCTTAATTACTTTTCTACAGTACAACCAAATGCTGCTCTGACCTCATCATTTCCTTTCACATATTTTGGTTTTTTACATACAGAACAGAAAGAATATGAAAGAAAAGGAAGAAAATAAGACTAATTACACGTTGTGGGCGTGAATGAACTGGTTCTTGGAGCTCCTTGGGTAGTGGGAGGAGGTGGCATGGTTGGAGGCGTCAGCCTGGATTGTGTCTTCACATCCACGGGTGAGTCTGGCATTGTGGAATGCTTCTCGGTGCGATCTGCAACACACACCACAGGAACACACCGGTTTATTTCTCCAAGCACATCCCCTCTGACAAGAACTTAAAGGTTAATGCAAGAAAGTGAGCCATTCCAACACCTGCTGCAAAAGATTACACCTGCTTATCTACTCCAGTGTGCTCTTCCCAAATTACATCATTGTGCTGGTTTGGGCTGGGCTAACATTAACTTTCTTCAAAGTGACTAGTATGGGGCTATGTTTTGGATTTGTGTGGAACACAGGGTTGATAATGCAGAGATGTTTTTGTTATTGCTGAGCAGAGCTTACACAAAGCCAAGGCCTTTGCTACTTTTGTACTGCCACACTGGCAAGTAAGTTGGGGGTGCATGAAAGATTGGGAGGAGACACAGCCAGGACAGGTGACCCAAACTGACCAATGGGATATTCCATACCATATGACATCATGCTCAGTATATAAAGTGGGAGGAAGAAGGAGGAATGGGGGGATGTTTGAAGTGATGGCGTTTGTGTTCCCAAGAAACCATTATGTGTGATGGGTCCCTGCTCTCCTGGAGATGGCTGAACACCTCCTGCCCATGGGAAGCAGTGAATTAATTCCTTGTTTTGCTTTGCTTGTGTGTGCAGCTTTTGCTTTCTCTATTAAACTGTCTTTATCTCAACCCATGAGATTTTCTAGCTTTTACCTTTTTCATTCTCTTCCCTGTCCTGCTGGTGGGGAAGTGAGCAGCAGTGACTGTGTGGTGTTTGGTGGCTGGCTGGGGTTAAACCATGACAATCATCCAAACCTTACTTAAGAAGGTGTAACACAGATGGTAAGACCTCATTTGTAGCAGTGTTCCATTATCTTTCGTTTTTATTTCTAGCATGTGCAGATGCTACCTCCCAAGCACTCCTGGAGCTGCAATAATGCCACCTCCCTTCAAGACTCGCACGTTAGCCAGGAGGAAAAAATAGATGAAGACACAGGAAGGTAATAAATCCCGTTATGACAACTCTTCTTGAAATAAAACCTGAAGCTCTTTAGTACAGGTGAGATATTGGGTGGAATATAGGTGGAAGCCAGCTCTTTTCATGTCTCTTTGTAACACCTGCTGCTCTCTCCATCGCTTCTCTTTGTAAGCATGGAGAGATACTTATGTTAAATACCACATGCCTCCTGGATCACTTTACTGCTGTGCCCCTGGATATTCTCTCATTCACCAAAAAATAAAAACAACATGCCAAAATGGTAAGTCAGTTGTCTTACATATATGCCATTGTTTTAAAATAAGCATGTAAGTTTGCACCTTCAGACATTAAGAACTCTAATGTTCAAAACCTGCAAGACAAGCAGAAACATACCTCCCCAAGAAAGCAAAACAAACAAAAGGCAAAACCAGGCAGAAAAATTAACACATCTCTTGCAACTAAAGATCTAAAAATGCAAGACGTTTGATATAGAAGCTACAGAAGTGTATGTATTCCTTTTTCCAACATCTTTTTGCATACATCTATGTTAAAATATTTTTTAATCCATCCATGTCCTTAGGTTTCATTTATCAAGAATTGACAAAACATGACAACATTTACCAATTGGAAGCAAAATTAAGGCTTCCTTACTCATGCCGGGAGTTTAGCAAGCCATCTTGAGTAAAGATGAGTACAATCAAGTTTAGCTTTTAATGGGCATATGTGAAATTCTTCCACCCCTTCTCTGGGCAGCTGGGGATATTTATTTATACACTGCCCTACAAAAGTCTTCCTGAGCTCCAAGAAACTATTTTGCAAAGCAAGTAAGTGTCGCCGCTAATGGGCAAGCATGTAGGTCTGTGGTTTTAATTCAAGACAATAGCAAAGCCTGTCACGTTCTATAAATTCTGTCACTCCACTTTGCGACGTGCTGTTCTTCTTCTTACTAACAACATACAAACTTCAATGAAAAAATCATATCTGAAATTTGCCCTGAGAGACAATAAGATAAATGAAATACAATACACCCATTTAACAAAAGAAGGGCATGTTTAAAAGAGCCTCAAAACACTTAATTATCAGGAAACTTAAATTTGAGGAAGTTACCAAAAAATAAAATATTGGGGGAAGAACAAAACAACACACACATACCCCCCAAAAATTGACACATAACAGATACCAATCTTTAGGTGCCTGAAACTGAAGGAACTGAGGAAGTAAGTCCCAGAGGTGCAGTGTGTCAGGTACTGCAACTATAGAAGCCATCTTCACCCTTTGCAGAAATGCCTACAGGCAATGTTTCAGTTCTCAGGGAAAGGGAGTCATTTCATACAGAATTTAGAGACAAGTTTGGGGAAGATGAACAGTGAAACACCCCCAGAACAGGATGAGGGGAATACAGATACAATTTTATAGCATCTGTGGTGTTGATCTAAGGTTAGTAAACCTCAGCTGTGGAGGAAAGAGTATCCAAAATGATTAGCTTAAATATCAAGGCTACTACACAGATAACTGAGGTATGATTTGCAAAACAAGCAACAGTAAATTATTACATGCTGAAAAACAAAAGCAAGTTTCTAAACATATTCTATATGTATTTCCTTCCCATATCACTATACTAAAACAGTTACATCTATATCTTCAACAAGCCATTAATTTAATATAAAGAACTATGAAAACTCGTCTTGAAATGTTAATTGCTTCCTTAATAGCCGAATTCATCTTGCACTCACCTCAACCAACCTCAGCAACAAGGGAATAAATAGCT